AGTGGTGTGCAGATTAGCGACTGAAGCGAGGGGACACGCCCCTCATAGGCGAGTTTCTCCTTGATGAATTCTGGGGGAAATTAACTATATTAGAAAAAACTTATCAGAACCAGTATCTAGAAGGCACTTCATCCATGAACCGGAACTGTTCAAATAGAATGGGACACAAACTACCCTCATTCTGCGGTATAAGGAGCACCTTAGCCTCGAACCCCATACGTTTTTTTTTGCTTACTTTCCGCCTATTTCTTGTTCCGTTTCGGGGTGAATCATTTATACGGAAAAAGAAGAGTAAAAACCAACCAAATGGTTTACTTATGTAAAAAAAACACGGCTGCTGTATTTCAAAATTCTCGCGCGCGTCGTCTGTGCGTCTCCGGCGCCTCTGCTAATAGAGACGCCTCATAATTCAGGAGAAAGGGCAATTTGATCTTCCGTAACTGGTGAATATTGATGAAAATTCCCCTTGCCGCATGACAGCTTAAAATAAATGAGGGGGGTCACGCTTAATTTTTCTCAAACGTTTAAAAACAGAAGAAACGAAAAAGCCACTTACGGTTGCCGTTTGCTTTCCGTTATCCTCCGCTGCAACACGGAAACCGTTTTGCAGAGTTTGCACTTCACAGGAAGGCTGATTTGCTAGCACGTCTTTTATGGACAACGCTGCCACATTGCGTACCTAAAAATGAAAGCTTTTGAACATATACGTACATCGTATTAGCTATGAGTGAATTATCGTGCGCAATTCGTACACTAACCGCTCTCAATCAATTGCAACTCGAAAAGTAACAAGTAACAGTAGCAGTAAAAAGCCAGTGAGCTTGAAGTATATGTAATCGAAGAAATTCGACCTTTTGGAAATTTATTTAAAATCGAATAATGTTGATCATTTCTGTAAGAAACTATTAGCTGGCTCTTTCGAAAACGAGCACAAGTCAAGGAAATCATTTAGAAATTTTTAATAGGTTGACTACAAAAATGCGGAGGAAAGACTGCAAGAAATAAAGCAGGGACCGAATATTCAAAGTCGAAGGACTGGCTAATGGCATCAGGTGCCGAGATGACACTTTTATCGAGTGAAAGCTGCAATTTCTCCTTATGAGTTCGGTTTCAGGGAAGTAGACCCGCGCTTGAATGGTCGCTCTTTCCACGCCATTAACGCCCCTTCAGTAGCATTTTTATACTTCTTGGTTAAGGCCGCGTCTCTAGCTTGCGACCGTGAAGAAATGCAGAAGTGAAGAATTGCGGAATCTGCAGAAACGACGAATTACGGAAAACCGATGCATGCCTAACCCTGTTCGTCACTTTCTGCAGATTCCGCGTTTATGCATTTCTTCATTTGCAAATTCCTCCTCTCTTCAAATCAATAAGCATCTAATGCTTTTCGTCATTTCTGCAGGTTCCGCATTTGTTCCTTTCTGCATTTCTTCACGGTTGCAAGCTATGAAGCTGGCGCAGCGTTAATGTGATTTGCGTATCCACGCCTTCAAGAACTGTTCCCAGAGAACAAAATAACACACTGCATCATCTCTCTAGTAATCCAAACCTTAATACAAGCATTTGTATAAATTCCGTAAAAGGGTGAGTATACAACCCATAAATGATTTTGGTAGCAGCCCTACGCAGACGCCCTGAGAGTAGTCTCTCAAGCAGGAAGACAAGAAAGCTATTTCATAATGGTAATCACTAGGCTAAGCTAATTGGAGGAAATTTCTTTTTTCAGAGGATAACATTCTTTTTCGCGAGTGATATTACTACTTTAACCACTTGAAATTACCTGGGTGTTCAACACCGGCCGAAGTGATGAACCAATGACAAACCTCAACGCCATCTCTCCGTCCTTTTACCAACAAGCCTGAAAAGAACTCGATTTGGGCTGTGATAACACAGAACTTCTCCCACGACATGTAACTCTGATTTAGTCTTATTCATTACAGAAACAACATTAAAAACATTAAAAACTACTCCCTAGGGGGTCACTAAAGATAAAATGGAAGAGCCAGCCTTTGAACGAAGTCGCTCAATTCCGTGTACCGTCGCCAAACTATCGTGCTGGGACCTGCTTGCACCGGCGCATCGTTTTCAAGCTCATTTCGCCAAGAATTTTGCTTCGCCAGTCTGAGCACCTGAGGACCTGAGCAGTCTTCTGCGTGTTGAACTTTTTCATTCATTTTTAGGTTTTATCAGTGCATTTTCCTTTTTTCTCCTCAATCATTGATCTCCTTATCTCCTTGTCAGTAAACAGAAGAGGTTTGTGAGCTCCTCCTGGTGAAGATTGCATCTTAGTGCGTGAAATTGTTGCATAATTTTTATTCGATGAATTTGTAGAGGATTTGAAAATGGTAGTCTAGTTTTCACTTCGAACGTGTCCCTAACGTAACTAAACTAACGCAAACATAACGAAACTAGGCGATCCTTCCTCCGCGCTCATCTCCGCTCATAGTTGGATGGGAAACTTGCTCTATGTATAGAGAACTACTCGTGGGAGTTGCACTGCAAATATTTCCAACA